CTCAATCATTTTGACATTGACTAACACTGTTAGACCACTGGGGCAGATCAACCTAAAAATGTGTCTTTTTCAACTTTTTGTTATCCTAACAACATGGTGCGTAATGGAGTGCAGCAGATCTCCATACAATAATATCACATTTTGGGGAGACAATGTGGTCATATCTCATTATTGGAAGGATTCCCTCAATGTCCTAAGGACAAATCAATTGACAAATGTCAATTTTGGGACAGAAAAATTCAAGGGAAACAAACCCTTGCAAACAAACACAGGCAAAAGTTCCAGACCTCTTTAGATCCTCCTCCAGTTCTTTCACTCTCTGGTCCACTTTGATCTTGGACTGTTTCACTGTTTCCAGCTCTTCCCGGAGAACTTCCTGTTCACTCGACAGCTCGTCCACTTTAGCAATCAGGTCATTCTTCACAATATTCAGTGCATTCCTACACAAGGCAAATGACTTTGTCAGGCATCCAGACACATACGTACATGAGCAAATACAAACACGGTCTCTATCTCTTACTTGGTCTCCAGTAGTTGTTTGTTCTCTGTTAGTAGATTTTCCACCTCTTTCCCCATTCCTGTGGGATATACAGTGTTAGCAGGAGTACAGACCACCATGAACTGAATAGACTATGGTATAGCTGATTCAAAACTACAAAATCACAATTGTTTGAAATTACACCACAAACACAAAGAATTACAGTACATTTATTAATAGGGCCCAATAAAAAAAGGTGAGTGAAAGGTGAGTGTCTTTATTGTTGCATTAACTAATTACCTTTCAAGATTTGATTAACAGCACATCTACAGGGAAATAATCAGTGTCTAACTTGATAAGTGGACTGTAGAACATCCAAACAGACTTGATTAAAATAATATGATTCATATGAGCCGATAAGCCATGCATTTGAAAGCACAGCACTGAGCAGCAGAAGATACTAGGATTAGAAGAGCAGAAGCACAGGAGAACATCTCACAAAAAGCATCGCTACAAAACAAGAAAGTGTCACAATGTCTTACTGAAAACAACGTGAGGGGGAAAAGGAGGCTATGAGCCTTACCAAAGAAATCATCCCGGACTGAAATAGAGAGCCGAGGAGGAAAGAGAGGGAAAGTGGCGAGGTAAGAGGAGGCAGCCAAAAGAAAGGAGGAGTAAAGTTATGAATTTGAAGACAGAAGAGGATATTAAAAGAGGAAGATAATGATGGAAGTGAAAAGAGAAGAAATTAAAAAAGATGAAGAGAGCAAGAGAGAAAGATGGACAAGCACATGTTAGATATTTATCATCACACACATACAAATAGGCACACACACACACCTGATACATTATTTTTAAAGAAAAATTAATAAAACAAATCATCAGCTGTCACTATTACACTAAAAAGTATTTTTGATATATTAGACCTTCATCTTTAATTAAATAATTGTCATTAACAATTACAAAGGAGCTATTACCATTCAAAAGTTTTGGGTTGGTAAGATTTTTAATGTTTTTGAAAGAAGTCTCTTATGCTCACCAAGGCTGCATTTTTGTGGAAACTGATAAATTTTTCCCTAGGATTCTTTGATGAATAAAAAGTTCAAAAGAACAACCTTTATTTAAAATAGAATGTTTTGTAACAATTTAAATGCCTTTACTGTAACGTTGGATTAATTAAAAGAGTCCTTGATGAATAAAAGCATTAATTTCTTTAAAATAAATTCTTACTGACCCAAACTTTTGAAAAGTATTGCATTTTTAAGTGTTTTAAATGTTTTTTTTTATTTTATTTAATGGTTAACACTTTATTTTACAGTGCACTTGTTACTCATGTTACATGTAGTTTCTATAGCAATAACTATAAAATATGCACAATTACATGCAACTAATCCTAAACCAAACCTAATCATAACCCTCAAACTATTTTAAATACATGTAGTTAATATTACTCAGTATTTAAATGTATAATTACACTGTAACAATGACACTTTAAAATAAAGTGTAACCTTTTAATGTTATGTCTTTACAGTTGTTTAAAATCTCTAGGACACCTTTCTCAATAATTTTTCACAACTATTCACTCAGTGATCACAACATCAGTCTATGTGGGCTAAACTGTGGATCATTTTATTTGGCACAAAATATTTCTTTGAAATGACATGAATTATTTTCTCACTTAGATACAAACACCACGAAAACTTTATGTATTACAGGCAAATTCGCACATGTTTACAAAACTGTTAAACATGAGTTAAAAACCTAGTACAACATAAAAATGAATAAGACAGAAATTTGCATTCTACAGCAATACCATATTAAAATATATTCTGAATTTCTGAATCTAAAAAAAAATCAAATACTATCCATGCAATTACCGTAGATTTAACTAAACACCTACAGTCTTTCAATTTCATTACCATCCATTCAAAATGAGAAAACTAAGGAAAAATGTTTGTAGTGTAATGTAAACATGGGCTATGTAACATATACTGCCGTGATTTATAAGCAGTAGAGAGTGTCATTCATGTTTTGTAAAGACATTTTACAAAAGAAAACATTGTATAATGCTACCTGATGTTAGTGTTTTTTTAGGTCTGTGTTTTATAAGTGACAGTGTGTTTGTTGGATGAAAACGAAATAGAGTGTTATGGAATAATGACTTGATTTGACACATGTATGAAGTGTTTTGGCAGTTTTAGTGCATTTGAATGTGAAAAAGTTGAAAGTTGGTTAGGAGAACTGTGTGAAGAGTTTTGAAAAAAGTATTGAGTATTAAAAGTATAAAAGTACTAAGTATTGAGAAATGTGTCCTAGCAATTGTAAAAAAAAAAAAAAGCTGTAATGTAATATATGACTAATTGTGTTTTCTAATGTGTATTGTTGTTTTAAATCCATGCAAAGGTCATGAGGAGCAAAAAAGAATGAGAAATAAAAATACCAAACAATCAGTGATCAGATACACACCTGAGAATTCCCCTAGGGGCGTGGCCGAGAGAAGCACACACGGGAAGGAAGCACAGAGAGGGGTCAAGGGTCAGTGAGTGAGACGGCCAATCAAAAGAAAGATCCACCTTCACACTGAGATAAACAAATCAACAGCTCTACCTTGATAATGAAACAAAACAAATCAGAAACCGCCAACGTAAATAACGGAAAGTACTCAAATTAAACAACTACATCACACCAAAATTGCTTAGGGGCAGGAGATACAGCCATAAAGCAAGCATGATATCCCAAGAGACCTTGCTTTGAGGATACATCCAGCAGTGTGGGCTTCCTGACAAAAGGCATGCAGTTCAAAGTGCAAGCAAGAAAAGCCCTTAGCAACCATGCGCTTAGCAATGGTACTTGAAATATATATTTAAACAAAATTAAAAATCATTGATATTAAATGCAGGTCACATATAAAACAAGATAACCTGCATTTATGAGAAAGTGTCAATCAACTGTTGAGGTAAAATGTTCAATGAAGGTCATAATCTGAACTATGAAGCTTACCGAGAAGTTCTGCTCCTGCGTCCACATCACCGATGATGTCAGACTTGGCGTCTTTGATCTCGTGGTACAGAGAGTCTGTGTTGATGCCGAATGCCTCATTCACTATGCCCTGAGAAGGACTTCAAAGGAACAAGAGTTCTCGTCATTATTTCACTTCAAAGCTTGAATCCTTTACATTACACAAAGCAACTTTCTAAACAGTATTCTTAATGACCTGTAACTTTTATTTTGATGGTTCTTTTGTACGTAAACTGGAGTATTTTGTACTGTTTGTTCACGCTTTAATGGTGTGAATGATGTTCATCAGTCTACCTGTTTCCTCTTTCGAAGTCTCGAGGGTCCAAGCGCATTTCTAGCTCTGGTGTTGAGTCTATAATTTCTTGAAACTCTGACCATTCATCACTACTGCCCATACCTACACACACACACACACACACGATTGAAAAGAAGAACACAGAATCATTGTCCTGTCAGGGAAAATTTGAATTTTGCATTGTTTGTAAATCTGTAGATGTAGTAAGATCAATTAAATCGATCAAAAATGACAGTAAAGACATTTACACTGTTAGAAAAATAATATTATGTTGTTCTTTTGAACTTTCTATTTATCAAAGAATTCTGAAAAAATATATCAGTAATATCCACAACTGTTTTCAACACTGATAATAATAAGAAATGTTTCGCGAGCACCAAATCAGCATATTAGAATGATTTCTGAAGGATCTTATGAAGGATGTTTTTACACATTTTATTCAGTGATTATTCTTTGCCTCAATTCTTCTCCCTTTCTCTCACCAATGCTGACGTTCCTGGTTTCCTGACAGACCTGCACCTCCATGTTTCTACTAAGACGCTTTGCATTCTTGTGGCCCCGGCCCCGGGGCTTGTTGAACTCTTCCACCGACACCAGCCCATCGTTCAGAGGGGTAACTGTTGCCGAGGGAACAGACGAGGTGGGAGTGTTTGATTTGCTGCCTGTGCTGCTGGGCGTGGCTGCGACGGAGTCTGAATCTGAACCATCCTCCTTAAACGAAAGGGAACCACATATCACACGCACGTTTTGATAATAAACATATTCTGCTAAACTTCTAAACTTAAATCTTCTACACTAGTAAATTTGATATTGCTTTGACTTGTTTGATAAACAAATATTTAGACGTACTAGCAAGCAAACATATATTGTCATACAAATTCAAACATGTAAAAATGTAAACTGTAAAAATGTAAATTCAAAAATGTAAAACTGTTTATAAAACATTTATAAATAATAAAATGTCTGTGCATTACCACTATATACTTCCAATAAAAATATATTTATCTTTGAGTCAAAAATCCTAGAAGCTGAAATGGCAACGTGAAAGGTCCACAGATAAAAAGCTATGTCAAACAAACTCAAATTGCTTTATACTCATGTGACTTGAGTCATTTGAAAAAAAGGAAGTGAATAACTCATATCTTCTCTTCCTTCAAACAACAGATCATTAGTTATGCGTGCACAGCTGACAGATGTTTCATCTAGGTGAGATTCAGTTTATTAAAATCATCTTGTTTTAAACACAACTGTTCATTTCAGATGGCTAAAATAAGACAAAAAACGTCAGAGAACAAGGCAGAGGACGGACGGCCAAAATCATGGACCCTTGGAGGCCTGCTGGTGACCATCGAGCAACCACCCATGAACCTGATCTCGACACAAGCAGGCTTAAGGGGGGAGTGTCTGACAGAATGATGGTTATCATAACTCCTCCCCTGGCGTTTCGGGTGGAGTCATATCTGTCACACCTGATAGCCAGGGGCGTAGACAGGTCTGCTGAGATCGCTGGAATGCCAGACGTCTGACAAAACCATTCTAGCCCCCCCAAGACCCCCACGTACCATGCCATCTCCGCCAGGAAACAAACTCAGTGATGGGGGGCGCTCTGTTTTACTGCAGGACAAGAAACAGATAGATGTAGAACGTCAAATATTTCCCACTTAACTAAATTGGCACATGAAAATGAGCAAAAAACTCAATGGACAGGGTGAAAACATATAAAGACACAAAACCACAAAGGAGAAAGAGGTACAGGTTTCTCAGTCTCTGACACTCAGACTGCTAAACTAGGCAGGGCGTTTGCGTGAACGGGCAGGGGGTTCATTTTTTATTTCAAAGGAGTAAAATGGGAGATAAAAGGACTGCAGAGACAGGGGTTTGGGTGGGAAAATGTCAGAGAGTGTGGGCAATTTTACCTTTTCCTCCAGTTGTGTCGTTTACTGCAGAGACACACAGCGGCACACGCACAGAAAGAAAGAAAGAAAGAGACAAAAAGAATGTGAACACACACACTCACAAACACAGTGACACGATACTTACACAGGACATAAAGTCACGTTACATACAGTATACACTCCAGTATGTAAAAAAAATAGATGGGAATGATTAATGTTGAAACCATGATGAAATTGCAAATAACACATTTAAATTATATATATATTTTTTAGAAAACTATGTTTACAGCATTTGAAATCTTGTTTATTCTTCAGTTCTGACTCTCTCACAACTTTGTACCAAAATTTTAGCCTGTAAGCATGTCTATGAAAATGTTTAATTAGTTGAAATTAGCTGACTCTGTTTAAATGAAAATAGAAATGTGTGAAACTTGTGGAGATGTGTGTATAATTGAGTATGACTATAAGCCAGCCACAACACTAGATCTGACTAAGCAAGACATGACAAACTGTGACTGAGCATCATCACCCAGTGCCTAGCAACACTGTCTCCAAGACAACTGTTCCAATAATGGGCCATTTTGTATCATCAAAATCTAAACTATTCTAATACATACACATCCAAACGTCATAGCTGGTGTCCCAAAATAAGAGAATATTAGTTTGCAGTTTGAAATTTAAAAATATTTAATTGAACTGGTTACCCACACTGGTTAAAAGCACAAAAGAAACATGCAAAACACAAATTGCACATTCCAACTCTTAATTTAAACGAAGGCTTGGAATGGCTGCATCACGCTGATTATACAAGTTACTCACGACCGTCCGCAGCCTGTGGATTCAGACTGGTTGCTGCCTGACTGTTGCATCTTTGAGCGCTCAATGTGTTCCACATATGTCTGTATCATCTGGAGAAAATAAAATCAATGTTAGTGTATATGCTGACTTTTTCGAGATGTGGAGCTTTGTATTTGTAACTTTTGAGTTATTGCTTCCCCACACCTATGAATTTCCATGATGTTTCCATTCATTTTCCATGCCAAAAATCATTTTTATCAAGATCATAATCACAAAGAGCAATTTTTAGCAGATAAAAAAATTGAAGAAACAAGAAAAGAAAACCTGCATGATGGGTATTCTTCTGACCTCTGTATGACGCTGGTGAAGGGAGTTATACTCTTTCTTCATGTCTGATTCTCGTTCTTCCAGACGAGAGACTACAAGAGAAGGACATCACGGATGCATAGTGAAAGATACTCAAATCACTGTTTGTGTCAATGAGTGCGTAGGAATGAATGTAGTTCAATGTAGTGCACTCACTCTGGTCAGCGTAGTTCTTGGTCTTCAGCTCCAGTTGTTTTGTTTGTAGCTCCAAAGTCTCCACCATGGACTGCAACTCCTTCTTGTCTGCCTCCAAGGCATCTTCAAATTCAATAAACTTCTGTTACACAAACACACACACACATTCACACAAGGTCAGATCCTTCAACTAACAGCTTGAATTAGGTGAAAGCCTGAGAAGGAAGGATGGATGGAGGATGATGAATAGATAGATAGATAGATAGATAGATAGATAGATAGATAGATAGATAGATAGATAGATAGATAGATAGATAGATAGATAGATAGATAGATAGATAAGATAGATAGATAGAAAAAACAATAGAGACAGATAGACAGAGACAGACAGATAGATAGATAAAGTGAGACAGATAGACAGACAGATAGATAAAGAGAGACAGATAGATAAAGATAGATAAAGTGAGACAGATAGACAGACAGATAGATAAAGAGAGACAGATAGACAGACAGATAGATAGATAGATAGATAGATAGATAGATAGATAGATAGATAGATAAATAGATAGATAGATAGACAGATAGATAGATAAAAAGAGACAGATAGACAGAGACAGATAGATAAAGACAGACAGACAGACAGACAGACAGATAAATAGATAGATAGATAGATAGATAGATAGATAGATAGATAGATAGATAGATAGATAGATAGATAGATAGATAGACAGATAGATAGATAAAAAGAGACAGATAGACAGAGACAGATAGATAAAGACAGACAGACAGACAGACAGACAGACAGACAGACAGACAGACAGACAGACAGATAGATAGATAGATAGATAGATAGATAGATAGATAGATAGATAGATAGATAGATAGATAGATAGATAGATAGATAGATAGATAGATAGATAGATAGATAGATAGATAGATAGATAGATAGATAGATAGATAGATAGATAGATGGATGGATGGATGGATGGATGGATGGATGGATGGATTGATGGGAGACAGACAGACGGACAAAAAGATGCATTTGGAGAAGGGTTTGTGTTTTTAATACAATACAGGCACATTTACACACAGTTACAGGGTACATAACACATACATACACACACACACACACTCCAAGTGCAGTGTGTGGTGACTTTGAGCTGCAAGGATTTAAGTGGAACACAATAGGCTCTTTCTGCAGTGCGGCCCAGCCACAAACAGCCTCCTGGAATTCAGTAATCCCAGCACTGCAAAGAGAGGGAAAAACCAAACACACTCCATCTAACACTACAAACTTCAAATCCCCCTTCAATGAAAACATCAAGTCTGATCATGTCATTCTAATGAGTTTTTGACTGACAAAGTCATTTCTACAGTACTATATATATACCCCATATGAGCAGCATGCCTACATTTAGGATTATATTGACGTTACATTAGGATGTTATGTAAAGATTTGTATAATGTAATCCCAGAATGCTAATTCGAGTTCTTGCTATACTTTGACATAAGATCCCTCATTCAATTCTGCAGTTTAATCATGAAAAGCCATTACAGGTGAAATGTTTATTTTCGACATCACATTTCATGGTTAAATGTACAAACATAATGAGTGTTTCCAAACAGGTCTCCCCATCTGCCATTGGTTGAGCTGACGTGTCAGGCTGGTTCGATGCCTAAACAATCTGAATAACGTGCAACGTCAAAAGTTTTTGCACTTTTTTGGGGGAAATATCTTTCAAACTTGCTTGCAGCTGTCTCTGCATATTAATTCAGGCATAAGAGATTTTAACACTGAATACAATTATGTGCATTAAATTACATATGACAAATTGGAGTCGAACCAAGTCATCTGTTGTCACCATGCATTAGAAGGATGTGAATATGAAGCAAAAGAAAAAAAACCTTTGAAGAAAAAACCTTCTTAAACATCATGAATGTCGTAAATAATCTGTACTTTTATAGCTTTTATACTGTTAGATATGTCGGTTTTTCTAAAGCTAAATTACATCTAAACTGGCAAGTTTATTTTAATGTTTAATTATAGTCATTAGACATTCTGATTTCTCTCAAGAGGATTGATAATGATATAGCCTATACACAAGTTCAATGGGGTTATATATAGAACCCTCGGGATACGTTACAAGCCGTTTAATTCGTATTCTTAATGTGGTTCTATGAAGCGCCTGAAAGAACCCTATATAGAACCTTTTCTTCTAAGAGTGATAAATAGAATGTGTGTTAATACAGGCTAGTGAGAAGGATGTTCTTACTGTAGCCACTATATTCTACTGCCATAATCCCAAAGGATGTGAAATTGGAGAATGATGTTTACTCTCTCTCTCTCTCTCTCTCTCTCTCTCTCTCTCTCTCTCTCTCTCTCTCTCTCTCTCTCTCTCTCTCTCTCTCTCTCTCTCTCTCTCTCTCTCTCTCTCTCTCTCTCTCTCTCTCTCTCTCTCTCTCTCTCTCTCTCTCTATCCCTCACTATCTCTCTCCCTCTGTGATTTCTGTCTGTCTCATAACATGAGAATCGGGTTACAGCGTCAGCCAGCCTCCTTCTATGAGAAAATTGATTACCCATAATCACCCCCCCCTCCCCATCATCCTCCCAGTTTTGTCCTCTAGACCCCAAGCAAATAAATATTTGTGTTGCTGCATTAAAACATGATACATAGCTATCCCTAACACTTAACTATTTGTATTCAATGAATCGTATTATTATATTCCACAGCCTATTTCTTTCTGCAGATACAAATTTCCCTTATGGCATCTATTATTTTTGGACAGGAACGAAACAATTATTACATAGTATAGTTTATTATATGGTGTATAGTATCAACATATTTTATGAGAGCATGAATAAATACTGTCTAGAGATAAAACGAAGAAAAAAACATTTAAAAATGCTGCTTCTCTGGAATAAAAATTGTAAACAAAAAAATGTTGAAAATTATAAACATAAATAGGCAGAAGAAAAAATAGACTATTACACACGTGTGGATCGACATAGCGAATCCCAGCATTCACACTGTAGAAACTGAAGTAACCAAGTAATGAGAAGCATCACTGCAGTTTACTGCACTCCATCAGCACATATTCCTTCTCTGAATCATCTATGATACTGAAAAACAGCCTCTGTTTTCTCTTTTACTCTTTTATGTATTTTCTTTCTGTCTTCTGGTACAATTCTGCTCTTAAATTTACATTTCTCAGTTTTGACCGCTCTATCATCACTCCCCATTTTATTTTCACACACTGAATCTTTACACTTACAACCATAAAACACTCACAATTTTATTACAGCCTACTTAAACAGTTTACACTCTGATATAAAACTTAACACAAGAATGCTAATAATGCTCTAGTTGTGCAGTCGATAATATAGTTACATTTGGAAAATGTTTTGGCAGTGTTAGCATGTAGTTATTATGATGCTTGTGAAGGGTCATAAAGGGCATCTGTTCCCTGTAGCTGTCTGGTCATAGTAGTAGTGCCTGTGCTGATGCACAAAGAAAAGATAAGAGTGTTTGTCTGCATATGACTTATGTACAAACGTGCATATGTGACAATCTTGTGTGTAAGATTTTGAGATTTATTTCCAGCAGTAATAGGTAGAGCAACACATACAATACATTATGTGATAAAACAGAGGGGTTTCTGGAGGAACTCTAGTGCACATGACAGGACTGTATAAAGTTTCTCAAGTGAATGTCCCAGGGTCAAGGACAATGAATTGACCAGGTCAATACAGATGTTACAACATAATTACTTCTCAAAGAGCAGCAATAATTGTTTACGACATCAGTTACTGTGTGTAAATAACGCAAGAAGGTAGTACTTCTTGTACATAGATAGAAGCTTTAACCCTATAAAGACAACAAAACCTTGCTTAAAAACATGTTGCAAACAGTATACTACATGTCTTCTGCCATCTGATTGATATTTCATACATTTTTAGTAAGTAAAATGCCTTTATTATAATTCAAAAAATGTCCACCTTGTTATCATTTGCATTTTGCATCTTTAATGATATTTATAAAATAAACATAATAATAACTTTTATATTGTAAGAACATTTTCAAAATGGACATCTACTGGATTAAAGCAACTTAGGTTTACTTGATCATTCATGCATTATTATTATTATGTAGCCTATTATGTCTTTTTTTTTTTTTTGAAAATCATTAATCATCAAATATGATACATAAGGCTTTTAAGGAACGTTTATTTGTACATCTCTCAGTCATCACTGTGTTGCATGCTTTATATGTTTTAAACTACAGAGCTTAGATCATAAAACTGAGCATTTAAATGTCATCCTAAGGCATATTTTTTGGGAGATTTAGAGTGACAACTGATATCTATATGCATTTTATGTAAGTAGTCTACTATAGGGTACTCTAAGCTTTTTTTAAATTATGATCAGATAACAAAAGTCTTCTGCTTAAATAGGACAACGTAGCCTATGTATGAAAATAATGAGCGATGAGATCATATTATTATTTACCTCCTCCGCCTGTTTGCGCAGCGATTTCTCCCGTTCATACTGCGTGATGAGTTGCTCGTTGTCCTCCTTGAGAAGTTCCAGCTCCACCTCATGCTCCTGGTTCTCCGTTAGAACCGAGTCGAGGTTCTCCAGAACATTCACCACCAGCGGCATCAGCTCCTTCACCACCTCCTCATCGTAGCTCTTGATGAGGCGCTCGAACTCCCGATAAATGCTGCTGGCCAGGCCCGACACCCGCTCGGACATGACAGACACGGCCCCGTAATCGTCCTGGTACACCACCTCGTCCAGCTCCATCATCTTGGCGACGTTTGATCGAAGCTCGTTATTAGAGAAAGAATAAATAAATCAGCGGCGACACGAATCGAAATGGCGAAATGTTTTCTATGAATTCATGACAATGTCATCAGGTGCACATGATGCCGCTGCGCTCCACGGCCCGGTTTCACCAGCAACAGCCGGATTTCGGGACGCACGACCGTTTAATATTCGATATTTGTTGATCAGACGGAGCGCTTGCGAGGGCACGAGCCCTCTTCCCCGCCCGTGCGTCCTGCACCAGTGTCGGCAGCGCGACCACACGCGCCTCGCTATAGCACTCGATTATTCCCCGGTTGCGTCTGTCTCATCGCTGGGATGGAGCGAAATTCATCGCATCACATCACGCCCAACGCGCGTCTGTCTCTGACGACGCACCTGCCTCTTAACAGCCGCAGCTCGCGAGCCCAGCCATTACTGAAAAATCAATGGAGGAAAAAAACCCCGGATAATAAATAAATAAATAAATACGGGAATAAATGGCTTCCGCTACCGTAGCAAAATCGGATACTGCTTTCTAGCGTTATGTCAGACTGCTCATTTTTGGCATTTTAAATCAATCCTGTGGTGGTTGACAGGGCGGCGGGGGTTCGTGATGCTGTTTCCGTCGGTGACTCTCTCTCGCAGGCTGATGATGGTGATGATGGAGGGGCCAGCTGACGTCACAGCGCCTGCATGGAGCAGGCCGCCGGAATAGTGATGTCTCATTGTCATTGCTGCTATCAAACACCAACCATTAACGACATTATTTATAGTAGCCACAATTCTTTTATTGTTATATTTAATATACCCTATCCAGCAAATAAGTAGCCTATTCAATGTAAACATTAATGAATTAGTAAATAAATATTTGAATGTGTTAATCCTTCTTTTGGCTTGATTTTTTATGTATTTTTTTAGCGTGCAGTCGACTAATTAATAAATCAGGGAATCGCACATATGAGGTCACTTTCCCATTTGAAGATAATCGCTTTAAGGCATCACACAAAAAAATTTTCAGAGCCGACCGCAAAAGTTCTTGCCAAACCCATCACAGAATGCACCATGTTGTTTGCTAGCCCCCACGCGGCTTCAAATGGCGTTGCCATAAAGGCAATTGTCAATGCAAGTGGTGCTAGAGAGAGCCAAATGACGTCCAGCTCCACCTCTGTACGGGACCTAATGGGTGGAGCTTTTCTAGTCCAGATCCACCTCTGTGCAAGTGATGCTCACTGCAGAGTCAAATGACATCCAGCTCCACCCCTCTGGACACTAATGGGGTGGAGGGATAGAGTTGTGGCTACACCCATTAAGCCCAAATGACATTTGCTCCTCCTCACTGGACATGGAGGAGCCAGATGTAAGCTCCATCCATTTGCTCCCTCTGTGGACCTAATGGGTGGAGCTTTTCTAGTCCAGATATGCCACTGTGGACCTATAATGGGTGGAGTTGTTTAGCGATAGGGTTAGGGTGTGGTTGGACCGTCTAGCTCCACCCATTGGCTCTGCAGTGAGCAGCCTCTGTCAATGTGGCATAGCCTGCAAATTCATGAAAAACATTTCCTGTAAAACTGTCATTTGCATTTCTGTAACATTGTATTGACCACTGATTCCTGAACAAAAGGCAATTATAAAACTAGATTATAGCTCAATATCTCATGTAGAATACTGTCAATTATCAAAAATACAAATAAGTCATTAGTGTCCCAACAGAAGGAAATGTAAATGCTGTTTATTTAACCTTCTGGTGGTCTTCGTTCATTTTAGACAGAAGAGTAAATGACAATATTCATTTTTGAGTGAACTAAACCTTTAAGCACCATGTACAAACCCTGCTCTAAAGAATCTTGACCTGACTTCAGCAAGCACATGCACACAAGTAACTCTTTAAACGAAGATTTGTTTATTTAGAGCAACATGGTAAAACATCATCTTACTGTCATGGAAAAAAGCAACAATACAGCATACAAATGAACAATACAGAAGTGTATTGTATGAAACAGGTCTCTGCGTGACATCATTGCAGCCAGTCACATTGCCAAGCATCCACTGAAGTATTTTGGGCAGGGATGGCACTAGTAATATGGGAAATGCCCACACGTGTCATACCTGACCTTCCAACTGCCATGTAAAGAATAGAGCAGATGGCTAATGGAAACAAAGGCCAAATTCAACAAAGTATTAAACAATCATGGCGCAGCAACTCTATTCAAGTACAGAATCAGGCATATCAGAGGATTCTTTTAAGGGTCTCTGATTACATTCAAATGCATGTATGGACACTGTAATAATGTGATATGTTAGTGATGTCTGATTGTACACATTCTCTACATTGCCATACATGTGTGCTTCGGCGATTATCAATTCCAACTGTGCATTTGGTTTTGCATCTGAGCTATTACTTTTACATTTGGCTTGGTGTCTTACTAAAAAAAAATGCAAGAGGGGAAAAAGGAGAAATGAAGTCACCTTATTGCACAAAAATAAATTTTCCATTACCATCAGAACACATTCACTGAGTTTCAAAGGAAGATCTGAACACACTGATACTGAAGAGCTTGCTTTGGCGACCAACAGTGGTTCCAGTTGAACACTTCATAGACTGTACTGAGTTTCTTGAGGCAAACTTGCATTTAATACATTAGCAAATTGAGAGAACATAATCATACAGAGAAACAACAGTATATGCAAACCATTTTAAAGGAAACGTAACCCTTCAGTTATCGGAGTGACAGTTGATTCTAATTAGATGGAAAGGGAAAGTGAGGAATGAATCAGAAAGTGCAAAAGCAATAAAGGAATGAAGAGTGACAGACTTTAGGGGAAAGAAATAACAAAAAGATAAAGTAAATGAGAGAGGATAAGTTTTAGTACAGATTAAAAGCAGATGGAAGAAGGGCAGTGACAATGATAGAAAGCAGCACTTGTGGCTAATAGAAAACCACACTGGACTTTCCACCTGGTGGGTTGAGCACTTTGTTGTGAGAGCGAGGTCGTGGTCCGAGGCGTGGCTCATGGTCTTTTTCTGTTGGTTGCTGTGTGGCTGGCTCAGATTTCTGATTGGCTGTTGGCGCAGGGGCAGAGACAGGGGCGGGGGTAGAGACAGGGGCAGGGGCAGGGGCAGAGACAGGGGCAGGGGCTGCTGCCTCTTTTTCAGGTGTGGGTTGAGGAGACACTGGCTCCACCTTCACTTTTTCCTCAACTACAGTCGCCTGCTTAGGCACCGGGGCTGCAAGAGAGATTTAAATCCATGGGAAAAGGAATTGCATGCCAACAACAGACTGAGGAGAAATTAACTAGGGCGTGAAGAACATGACGAATATTTTGTAAATCACAGGGTTTCTTTACCTGGTGGATCTGGAGTAGCAGGTACACCCACACCTAAGTTGTCCTACAGAGAAAAGAAGGGCGTTAGAGTTTAAATGGGTGGAAATACAGATTTTCAGAGTTCAATTATGGTTTGTGTTGAGTTACATACACTACTGTTCAAAAGTTTGCGGTTGGTAAGATTTTAATGTTTTTAAAAGAACAAGGCTTCATTTATTTGATCAAAAATACAGTAAATCAGTAACATGGCTAAAGGCTAAGGATTTTAATACTGGCCCCACCATAAAAAAGTAACAAATAAAATAAGTTACGCCTAGTTCTTATTTTCATCGTTTTTGACCCATGTTACCTTAATAAATCAGGTTATTATGACACTAAAAACTACTAACCTACCATAAATACACTGCAAATATTGTTAAAGACAAGTCAACAGTCTGTACCAAAAAAATAACAAATAATCAAATCGAATAATAGCACAAATAAATACAATAGAACAGGGATCTCCAACCCTGCACCTGGAGGGCTTCTGTCCTGCAGACTTCAGTTCCAACGCACCTGCCTGTAATTATCAACTAACCCTGAACAGCTGGTCCAGGTGTGTTTGATTGGGGTTGGAGCTGAAATCTGCAGGACAGTAGCTCTCCAGGAGCAGGGTTGGAGACCCCTGCAATAGAACAAACATACAAATGAAAAACAGTGCTTTTCAGGTTTTTCAGGCAGGTCTAATAGGTTTCAGGTAGAAAAATTGAATAATCAAATATTATAATATTATATTAATATATTATATTATAAAATAACACTGCATACATTTTAAAATGTAATTTATTCCTGTGATGACAAAGCTGAATTTTCAGCATCATTACTCCAGTCTTCAGTGTCACATGATCCTTCAGAAATCATTCTAACATGATGATTTGCTGCTCAATAAAGATTTATTATCATCATCATCATCAATGGTGATAACACTTGTGCTGCTTAATATTTTTGTGGAAGCCATGATACATTTTTAGTAACAATGTAAAAGCAGAAGCGTATAGATTGCCTAGGGGCAGGGCTCTGAACAGGTTCAAGGAACAAAAAATGAAAACCGGAAACGAATGAAATTAACAGGAACAAAAACAAAATCAATTTTAATCTTTCTGAACAGAAACGTTTATTTGAAATGACCATTAAAGCAACACCAAGGAACTTTTCCTCAGCGGTCGCCCTACAGGTTGGAAGCGGAATTGTCCATTACCGCTGTCGTAAATAATTTAGCCTACCGCAGCCTTCTGTCGCACGCGCACGCTCGCTGTTTATCCAGCACCGGCTTTGGAATCATCAATGGCAGACAACCCAACCTGCAAGAAGTCATTTCACGGAGGGATATCTTGGTGACTGGATTGTTGACGGGGGGGGGGGGGGGGGGGGGGAGGGGTTGACTAGCTTTCGTGAGGCACACTCGCAAGGTCTCTCGCTCTCTCCCTCTCTGCCGTGCTCGCGCTATACATGTTATGCGCGCAGTATGTTCTGTCTCGCATGCGCGCTCCAGATTCCGGCAGATTTGAACTAATTTGCGGGCATCAGGGAGACGCTATAGACTTGGGATGTCTGCAATGGCCATAGACAAATTGAGGAAGTGGTGGGGGAAGTGACGTATGCCGTAAAGCAGTCGAGTTTTGTAGTTCTTTTTGTGCTCGGTTTACTACCCGAAACCCGAAGTTACATAGTGCGAGCAAAAGCAATGCAGACGTGTCATTTAACCTATTGTAAGTCGATGTACCATCACAAGGGTCTTGGAAATATATTATGAAGGTCGAAAAGTTCCATAGTGTTGTTTTAACCGGTTCCCTTTAATATTTTAATTTGGCAGTGACCAATCATGAATTGAGTAGTACAGCATGTGACGTTGACACATCAAGCGTGAGTGAAATGCCCGAAAAAACAAGTTGTGTTGCAAAAACAGTTATGTACAAAGCATGTTATCACTCTTCTGAAAAAAAAAACTTGGCATAAGAGGGCCACTTACAATTGTCTAATGGTCCAGTAAAACAGGTCAATATTTTTCCAGCTGTTTATGCTTTTGTAATTAATACAGGTATTTCTGTTGTGGTTTTAACAATGTTATGAAATAAATGTTCAATTTTAATCATCATGTGTTGTTTTATTTTTGAGTGAAAATTAGTCTATTTATACTAGGGATGGGCATTTCGATCAAAAATAATATTTGAAGATCGCTGAGTATTGTTAAATTATTATTTGAAAAAAAAAAAAAAAAAAACACATCCCTCCCCCACATGCATGTATAGGCTACACAACAGAGCATGTGAGCAAAGCGGAGCGGTGTGACACTTAAATATAACTTGAAAAACTTAAACATACGTTTCATATTAATGTTTAAATAACATGTTTTTTTAACGCATAATTTCATCTATGTTGATTATATGAAAAGGGAACCGCATGAGATGAGAAAGATAGGATCATAAGATGCCCAAATATATCAGGAGACAGGATTGACCACTTAAGTTTTGTTTTGTAGAAAGCCTTTCTTTAAAGAGAACTTCGTTTTGTCTTAATTTTTTTAATAATTAAATAATTTTATCTTAATTTTAATCAATGTTTCATCAACCAATTGCCTGGATTTAATAAATAAGCAAATATAGCAGACAATTTAACAGGACACAGAGGCGCCGGCGCTTAAACTGGAGCTTGTCTCAAATGAACCAAAACTCAGGTGTATAAGCTACTTGCCTCACAGACCTGAGAAATATATCTATAGAAAGCTTGATGTCTACTTTTATTCAAAACGAAAAGAAATGAGCTACTCTCTGCTTATGTAGGCTAATTCGTATATGAAGTGTGCATTTCTTTATATGCGCGTTCACTAATGCGAAGGCGGCGAGTCAGCATTGTCAACTTTATATTTGCAGCCGACACTGACACAGAAAACACTAGTTTATTAATAAACAATTAAAATGTCTCATGCATAATCATTAGTTTTACCATTTTTTTGTGGCAAGCTTTATGTGTGCGCTTGAGTGCGGAATAGGCTATATATATATACATTTCGAAAACGCTCATTATGGGTTAGTATTCTCTCCCATGTCTATATTTAAGTAATTAAATTAATATAAATATGCGATTAGATTAATGGATTTAATGAACCACTTGTTTAAAAAAAAAAAAAAAAAAAAAAAAAATTTAGTCGTGCACGGGCAGCCCTACTTATTTCACATATTGTCGAACCAGCATGTCACTAAGGGCATTCTGAGCGAGCGTAATCTCCAGAAAGACTCTCTGCTCTGGAGGAAATATTACCACTCACATGCTCTGGTGTGATAAAATGTGTTCTTCTGTTGTCTGATATAGTTGATTGACAGCTTTTATGTGCGTTATTGGCAGAGTCACCCTCTGTCTTACATGAACGTGTCACCACCGCATCAGAACCGAAAACATGGGGATTTTTTTAAAGACAATAAATCACACAACCTATTTGATATTCTATAATAAAATCAACTAACTGAATATTTGAAAATCGTGACATCCCTAATTTATACATATTTGTTTAAAGTATAGGCTAAATTAAAATAATGTTATTAACAGGTATTTTTTCTGATCAAACCATTTTCAGAACGGTAATGTTTTAATGAGGAACTCAAAAACGGAAACGTTAAAGTATCGATTCTGCTCGGAGGGAACCGATTGATATTTTTTTTTCATTTTTAAGCCCTGGCTAGGGGTTGTCTACCTTTGGTTTGTTAGGATGACTTTTCACAGAAGATGGGGTCGACTCTGCTCCCCCAAAGATGTTACTGGATCCTCCACCATGGTGAGTTGCCCTGCTCCGAGTCGAAGGAGCCTCTGGCTCCCCAAATATCCCACTGCTCTTTCCACCTGAGACAATAAGAGACACATAAATCAGAGCTTGTTAAGATACACTAATGCTAGTTATGCAATTACTGGAACAAAATTTATACTTATCAATACATTCAAACAATCCTGTACAATTATATTCTCAATGAAACAATATTCATTTACACAAGTGAATGACAGCTTTGCAGCAGTATTTTTGTATCACTGAGATACTATTATAGTTTTATTATTAATTAGAATTTGTTATTCCATTTTCATTTTAGTTAATTAGAATTAGCCGTTATTGTCATTGCATCGGGATACAACAAAATTTCAGAGACTCTTCAGCTGTGCTATAATACATACACGGCACGCATGTAAAAACATTCCACATTACACATCACAAAAACATAACACATTCCATTTATAAACCTAAGTGCAGCAGTGCAAGTTAAAGGTTTCAAACAGATATAGCACAGTCAGCAGTAAGTTTTCATGAATAAATAGTGGAAGATAGCCCTTAATTTAGGGACTGGATGGCTTTTGAATAAATAAATAAAAAAAAGTTTTTTTTTTTTTATATATATATACACACATTTATTCAAGAATCTGGCAGTGCGTGTTTTAATTGCCCTATATCGCCTTCCTGAGGGCAGGAGGGTAAACAGGTGGTGACTGTGGTGAGAAGAGTCCTTAATGTTTTTGCTCTGGATAGGTAGCGGTGTTTACAATGTCCTGTAGTAATGGGAGAGGGCAGCCAAAGATATTCTGCTCTTGTGTTTTTAACACAGAAGGCCACCAGTAGCTTTGTAGTGTTGAGCTAATTCAATTACTTTTGTTTGATTTGGTCATTGCAAACAGCTGATTTTATTTCAGTAATTGTTTATTTCAGGTAATAAAAATGTATCTTTACAATTTTAACTATAATAAACCTTTGCAGGATTTTTTTTGTAATTTCTAAAACAGTGACAGTTTCTTCCTGTTCAATAACAAAACTCTATGCATGTCAGTGAGAAGGAAAAAGACATGCTCAGCAGCTGCTCCCTCAGGGAAAAGCATGCGAACAGCATGAAATATTCTTACTATTCTAACAGAAGAGGACCACTTATAACCCCAGAACTTAGTCTCAAAACTGGATAATGTTTAAGGGCACTTTAAACTTCAGATCAATGCTTATCCTGTGACAGAGCCACTAGTGTTTTAGTAATGTGACCTTTAACCTTATCTAGATGTGCAATTTCATCAGTTCAGACCGTGTATGATCTCACAGAGTTAACTGACTGGTTAATTTATCAGACTGAGGTAAAGGCTTTGATGCTGCTATTGATGACCAGATAACAAATGCAAAAGTGCCCGTTTGCATAGAGGCTGAGAGAGAGACTCAAACACATAAAACTGAGTAACAGTGTGGTGATGAATTTGACTCAGAGAGTGCAAGAGGCCCGAGACAGAAAATACACTGTCTGATGAAAGCTTACCTGGGGGATTGGAGCGTTTGGGACTCCCCTGAGATTCTTCTGCAGGCGCAAAAATAGAGGAGGACATTTTGTTTGGCCGTCTGGAGGCAGAAGGGTCTTCTTCATAACCACCGAAGAGATTGCTGGACCCTCCACCTGGAGGTCTTAGTACCCTAAACACAGAGATAGAAATATGTACATGGACTCACACGAATATTGTATTATCTCAATACTCAGAATTGTAGATTAATAAAAAGACCTAAAACAACACGTTACATTGCAGCACAGCGCCACCTTATATGTGAGGCTGAACATCGCAACTGCAGTTGTGAGTTTAGGCGGTCCGGCTTTTATGGGCCATAAAGTTTTACCCAACGTCAAACGCTGAATTTTTTAATATCATTCGTGCATTTATTTACGAAAATGAAAGCCCAGCACAATAAACAAAACGAAACCCTGCGGCATAATTTCGTTTCCGAAAAACAACGTTTCCAGGAAATGTGCCTACTTCAAAGTCTGCATTCTGCATAAATTCATATTTATTATTTTAAAAAACACCGTTTTTTAAACGTAGCCATCATTTTAAATTGCAAATACGTCTTTGATTAAAAGTAAAACACGTCTATGTGGCTGATAAAACTTCTCAGAGTCTCAGGACATTTGCCGCTAACGGCTAACAAACAATATTGACTAAATTAAAACCAATATAGTTTGTAATATCGTATTTTACCATCACACATACATTCCACGGCTGTTCATTTAAATTGTTATATCCAGAAATGTGACCTCACTCGGTGCATTAAATACACGTATAGTCTCTTAGCTACTATGAGTTAGCATGTAACGTTAGCGCTTGGCCATGCTAAAGTTCCGCTCTCTTCCACCCCTAAATAATCATGATTACTGATTCAGATAAACAGATGAAAGAGTCAACACCAAACTCACAATAAACACTGGTTTGTTCCAGATAAACTGTCAGCACACACCCCATACCTTGAACTTGGTTTGCCACTAGTTTCAAGTCCCTGAAACATATTGGTTGAAGTCATGGTTGCTTGTCTCGGTCTACTGCGACGTGACCCAGTAACTTCAACAACAGACAGCCCTCCTGCAGAAACTAGTGCTCTGCCACAACCGCTGAACTAAAGGACTATGCAAAGAAGAGAAGTCTGACTGACCACGCCCAGAAAGGATTGGACAGCTCAAATGCAGAACTGCAAATATGATTATGGGAATGGCTCTGTTAGAAATCAATCTGACCGAAGTATAATTCTATTGGCTGTCAGGTTATATATGACCAACAGAGTGAGTTGATTGGTTAGCTTAAAGTACGTCTTACTTCCCTGTCCGTCGTAAAATCAATTATTAAAAATACATCAATTCATAGAGAAAAATGTATAAATTATATGAATGTTTGTTATGACAAATTATGACAAGAGTATTAAAATTGTATATGTGATCTATTAAAATAGTACATTTTATTCATAGGTATAAATTTACCAAACAATACGTTTTTTTCTATATGATTTCTGCACATTTTATCATGACCAGTAATAATTTTTCCCAATATTTTTAAGATTTCTGTAAAATGGAAAGACCTTGTTGTGCTTTATATGTTTGTTTAAAACCTGGATGTGTTATATTATGTTGAGTTATGCCATATTGTTATTAGCATTTAAAATATAGAACATAATTAAAATAAATATGTACAATATTTTGTTCAGAACAACAATTAAAATGTTGAATACTAATTATTAAATAAAATAAAATAAAATGTAAAATATTGACTCTGACTCTATATATATATAAACATAAAATTATATGTACCGGTATATATAAACATAAATATATATATAAATATATATATATATATATATATATATATATATATATATATATGTATATATAATTTAAATATAATAAACATGTAAATTACATTGACTTTCACTAACAATAATAACTGATTCCCTCGTGTTTTCCTTGAGTGTCTGTCGGTCTTTGTTCATTTTGGGTGGGACCGTTATTTTAAAACATTTGCGAGATGAATGAAATGACGTGGGTTGAACGTAAGTTTTGATTGGCTGCTTTGAAAAAACGCCCCCTCTGTTTTTAATGATTGACTGGATAACTCCTCCGTCAATCATTTTACGAACGCGTCGATACGCATCACATTGACCAATCAGAGGATTTGTTTTTGAGTTGTGGTAGGCGTGCCTGACAGCAGAGGAAAACAGGAAGGGATGCACTTCAGTGGTTCTCCTGCTACCCCTCTGTTTGGTCTTTCTGGATACCGTGGAGTTTCTCAAGGCCAACAAGAAATCTCCTAAACAGGTATAGAACTTGTAAAAATCAATTTTTGTCAATACGTAATTATTGATTACATGTCTGAGCTGATTATATGACTTTACCGCAAACGAAATGGCAACAGTTTAGCTAGCAAGTTAGCGGAGCAACTTTGTCAATGAATGTGCAGCTGGCATTGCTGGTTAGGTGTCAGCTGTTGCAATTCGTTTATGGTGTAATCAGACTAACAGCCTCTCCTTCGTGCATTATTTTAAGCCCCTCAAAAGATGTTTGATAGCTAAATAACCTGGATAATTGTGTAGTATATTCACAATTGATACTGAATCAAGTTGACAATGTATTTCAGATTGTTTATTTGTAGCAGCTACCTGTCACAGTTGGTGCTCAGTCACTGGGGTTCTTTATAGGCAAACTAAATGTGATATGTTTTATACTTGTTATAACGTCTACACTTTTGATAAAATCTAACTTGAATGCTCAAAGAGGGGAAATAAAAGCATTTTTTTTCATCTAACTGCTCCCTTCAAACTGGACTGGACACGCAGGGACATTGACAGCTGCAGCTGTTGGTAGCAGTGGTTGAGCAGCTGAGATCGGCATTGCCTAACTGTATCTTATTTCATAAAGACATTATGACAATGTAATTAATGGGATAAATCAAGCTAAATGTTGTTTTGCACCCACAATATAGATGTCTCAGTCTTGACTGCTGCAATAATGTTTAAAAAATAATAAGAAGCAACGGAACTCTAACATCTAAACATGCATGTTTGCTACATTTATCGAGGAAAACGTGTTTTGACTTTTTTTTTGACAGTCTGTTATGTCAAAAGATTTTAAGCTCTTATGAGCCAAAGACACACCCTAATCAAGCAAAACATTGTCAAGTGACTAGTGAAACTTTTTATTTTAAAAAGCAGTAAAGATGAAAGATTTTATAAGTAGTCACTGTTATATCTGCGATTGTTTAATTTATTGCTGTGTATGCAAGGCACCATACCAACCACACCCCCCCCTCGAGAACGTGATCTATATGTACTCTATCAAGTCTGTCCTGTTTGTTTGTGAGATTGTGAAATCAATTAACACTAGCCATTTTATCTTGGGATGTATAGAGACTGTGGGTGTCACTGAGGCTGAGCAAAATTAAAATGTTACATGTTAAAATGCTTCTGCTCTGTTAGTTATGATGACGTATAGTGTAAGCAAAGTCCAGAGAGAGAATAGTAGCTGTGCGCGTGCATTGGTTTGTATTGACCGAAATGCCTCAAAAGCAGATCTGGTGAACAGTCAGATTCAAAGTTGGCGTCATCGTGCGGTGTTTTATCATAAACATATGCTGAATGACAGGTGTTTGTTGTTGTGATAAAACTAGTGAGTTTGTGAGTCAGAGTTGCTGTGGCTACGAGAGCTCCCAGTTGCGCTGCGCGGAGTTGAACCCCAGTAGGAGCAGCAGCCAGGAGAGGACGACTTTGCCTGACCTCGTTTGCGCTTTGAATATGTTCAAATTCGTCAAGTTTTGGCCTCGAAAATCTCCGAACTCATGGTGAAGAGAAAGAAGACGCCGTCTGCTTCCGAAGAGCTCGAGAATGGGTAAGAGTGCTTGAGAAACAAGCACTTTAGATAGAGGTCGAATGCGCGAAAGATTTGCGTTGTCGTCTGTCGTTTCTGCTGGGCGCTAAAGTGTAGGCGCTCGCGCTTGAATTTCAAGATAAATAAAGGGCAGCTTGCAACTCGAGTCACGACAAACTACACAAAAAGGAGGCTGTGATGAAAGCAGAATATATGTTTTTGGTCACATTCGTGAATAAGCGAGTGGATATTTTTCGATGCGATTTGTCGGGACGGTGAGAGGGGATTTGAAACAAACAGCGGCGGCCATGTTGAGTTGAGCAGAATGTCGTCTTTCCAAGTTGATCGTTGTTTTGAGTCGCGGAAAATGTTTACGAATATGCTTGGTTTGTGTTTGCGCAGGATGACAGTGGGCCAAGGGGGCGGTTCGGGAGTCGAGGGGCCGAGCAAACCGGACCGAAAGCCCGAAGGAGGCGAGGATGGAGAGAGCGCAGATCAGGCGAGCGAGGAGAGTACAAAGAGAGTCGGAGAGGAAACACTTAATCCATCAAGCGCGGCCAGCCCCGGTTTGGCTCCGACTCTTTCCACCCAAACATCAAGCCCACCCGGAGTCCAGCTAAACCCGACAGCCCTTTCCCCGGTCCTGGCTGCCCCGAACAGCCAGGACCAGCATCATTTTCTTCGCTCCAGCGTGCGACCTCCGAGCAAGCGGATACGGAAAGATGCCGCGTCCCCGGCGCTGAACGGTCACGGCGGTGCGAAAGCGAAAGGTGAGTGGCCATCTCTCGACGTGTGTGTGTGCGATGCTCAAGTGTCAGTACATCCGTTCTCTGTACTTTTATCTCACTTTTGGTCGTGTTTTAAAGCATTTGTACAGTGATCTGTGAGTTTGTGTGCTGATTTTGATTTGACGTAACGCGGGGAAGCTCTCACGCTTTCTGGAGTGAAAGTGACTTAAACTGCTCACACTGAAGCCTCTTAAATCTCAGCACTGGGATGTTTTGGTTGCTTGTAGCCATATTAAATGACTTTATAAGCATCAGTGCACTATTTTAAGTGAGCAGACTCGATGGTTATTTATTTCCCTGTCATTCAGCTAGCTGTCATTCAGCAGGTGACAAATCACTGTCAGGAGTTTCATTCTGATGCAACAGCCAGCTGTGCATCTAATCAGGGGATGAGTGACCACTCTGCCTCTACAGTGAATCAGGATCACAAGTCACGAGCTTGAATGATCTGTTTGTGATCTGAATATACACAGGGGTTATAAGGGAATCAATGTTTATTTTAAATGTAGACAATAGCATAGCATGCTGTAATGTATTCTGGGGTGCTCTTGTTGCATGCTCTTGAGTGTGTGTAAGTGGGGAGGGAGTCGGGACTCCACACATACTTCCTGACATGCACAAATTTTAATTTTATGCAATTTAAATTTTTATTTGTTTGAGGTGATTATTTGCTTCTTCTTTTTTTAAAAGAGTGGTTATGTTTCCTTGGTTTTGAATATCTGTTGTGTTAAGCCAAAAATAAATTTAACAGCCCAAAATATTATGAATATATTGTAATTGGTTGCACAGCCATCCAAATTAAGCTTGATAATTTTATCACTCTTTATTGATATATTTTGTGTATAAGTGACAGTTTGTTTAGTGTTGGGTTATATATACACAAGTACTTTTTTGATCTTGAACTTGTTGCAATGCTTTTCTCTGCAAGAATTACAGCTTGTGTGAGAACTGACATACTAACCTTCTTTCTTTTCCCCTCTCTTTCTCAGGTGCAGAAGCAGGTCCCTCCGTGTGTTTGACAGCTGCTGCGGGTTCAGCCGGCTCTGGGGCAGCTGGAGCATCCAGATCGGCCCCAAAGGGCCAGGGCCCTGCAGAGAAGGAGGAAGGGGGGAGTCAGAAACGAGTGCGCAGACAGTGGGAGTCTTGGAGCACTGAGGACAAGAACAGTTTCTTTGAAGGACTTTATGAGGTAATTTATCAGTTTTAATGAAAATGAAACTGGCTGAAATCTTTTGGCAGCCCTCTGGACGTTCAGTAAACTGTAGGTTTTTTCAATGGTGATTTGAAGAAAAAAAAACCTCAATTAGTTAATCATATGGGACAAAATAATTTTCAGTATTACTGAATAAGTTCTATTATTAAAGTTTCCGTTCCTCCTTGACTCGCAAGGGACAGACTGCTATTTAACTGTCCTAATAGTTTCCATTTATGTACATGTCATCTCTAAAAGTACAGTTGTGGTCTGTGATATCTTATATTGATTTATGTCTTACTACA